GGTACACTCTTTGTGTTTCCTACACATCGGTGCCATCTGTAACTGACAAGGTTTTTGTTCCCTCCTGCCCACATCTGTGCTCTTCGCATCTTCCGTTTCCTTTTTCCTTAGCCAGGGTTTCCAGCAATATAGCACCTTCTAAGAAACTTGAAAAAAACCTTGCTGACAACCTTCTGGCTCTGATGGGTAACTGCTCACCCCGAGGATACAAACAGGTGAAAACCATCTTCCTTGAGAAGAGACCTGAAGGCATGACAACAGTCTAAAGGAAGGAACCACACTGAACAAACAGGACGCTCTGCACTTCAGAAGTGCACTTACAAGAGGGGCAGCCTATCGCTGCGTGTCACCAACATGTTTTGTACTTAGTATGGGACAAGCACTAGAAATGAGAACCCAATTCACCGGAGAATGGACCTTGGCGGTCATTAATATTAGTATTTTGGGGCACTTGAAACGGAGGCTGTATCTGTATAGACTGACTAAAAGGCAGAGCACCAGGATTCAGATCCATGAATCTGCCTCGAGAGTCCATACTTTTAGGTCTTCCCTGGGTGACATCCTGTACCTGGGGGAGATGAAGGTTCGTGACCTTAGAACACAAATGAGGTGAATAAAGCAGACTTGAGGACCAAAGCATACTCCTCTTATGCGATTCATGAGCAAATGCAATCTCTCCCTCCCTCCCTTCCGTCCTCCCCTTCCCACATCTCTTTCCCTCTCTCCTCTTTCTCCTCTCTCTCTTTTCTCTCCCCTCCCCTCCCTCCCTCCCTCCCTCCCTCCCTCCCTCCCTCCCTGTAAAATAGATTTTCACTGTGTAGCCCTGGCTGGCCTGGAACTTGCTACATAGACAAGACTGGTCTTGAACCCACAGAGATCAACCTGCCTCTGCTTCTAGAGTGCTGGGATTAAAGGTGTGACCCACTATGTTCAGCCCCAGGAAATGCTTTTAATTACTGCCCAGTTGAGTTCTGGTAATACTGAAAGTAAAGCTATCATGTTAAATAACCCTAGACAAAGCCAGTCATTTTAAGTTTACACAAAAAAATTAAATAAAAACTTCCAAGATTTTTACTTAAAGTATACTTTGTTTCCTTGCCCCAACTGGGTTAATGTTAAATGGAGCATAAAATTAGGTTTAGTGGTAGATTACTAAAGCATAATGAAGTTCAGGGCACTAACAAATCTGTTGAGTTCAATTGCACTTTGGTCATCAAATAACATGATTTGGAATTTATGAAGTTTGCTTTTCCCTTCCTTAATTGAATTTTTCCTTTCATAGCACAGTATCTGTTAGGTAAATATCCCATACGAGTCACTGCTCCTTCTAAAACCCAGAGCTGAAAAAAAAAAAAAAGAAAACTATTAACCGCTCCTTTTTATCTACTCAATAGATTTTTTAATATCAGCTCACTCATGACAAAGCAAGAGCCCAAGGATCAATGTGGCTGTCCATCAGATGCCACAGTCAACAAGAGCTGTCACACAGAACCTCCCTAACCAATCACAGTGGGTTAATTCCCAAGGCAACGGATTAATATCGGTTTAATTTGACAAACATCCTGAATACCTATTATACACACACGGTTCTGTTATCTGTGATGTGTTATGAACGTTAAAAGGAAAACACAGTTTTGCCTCCTTTGAGAGGGGTTAGAAACACACATGGGCAAGTGCTGATAAAAAAGTTGAAGGCAGTTGGCGCTGTGGAAAAGTAAACGGCACTCAGAGGTTGGAACACGTGGTACCATGCAGCTAGGTGAAGCACAGCAATGGAACAGGGCGTTGTCTGCCTGGAGGGCTGTGTGCCACTAAGAGTGGACAAAGCAGCATCTCAGCCCATAAGGGCAGTGGAGGAGATGCCAACGAAAAGAAAGAGACCAGGAGCATGGTCATAGAGAAAGGCAGAGAAACAAGACACTAGGCCAAGTATCCCCAAGGATGGACTCAGAAAGGGCTCCTAAAGAGTGTGTCATCCCCCAAATACTCACCCTTTATTGAGTCTTGACAGAAATCTCACTGGCATTCCATCGGTTTCCCCATTTTATGAGTAATTTTATATAAGCTACAACTAAACCATTTTATGGAACTTTCTAAAACATCACTTAGGATCTGTAAGCTGTGTCTCACAAGGGTTCTGAAGATTTAGTAAGTCACTTTTTGAAAGGGACAACTATCCAGTATTGGGACACTACAAAACTCTTGTTGTACACTGAGAATGTTGGAATTCCTGCTGGAATTCTCAAGAAGGTTAAAAGAGGAATCTATCACTGTTTCTTTTGAAGTGTCAATTCCTCCTACAACCATTACCCACCTAGCTGTGGCAGCACGGCTTCAGTGTCTTAGTCGTCACTTGGTTAACTCTATCAAGTAGAAAGATGGACATTTCTGTCTACAGGATATGTTGGTCCACATTTGCATCAGCACCAAACTCTAACACGCATAGTTTTTCACACATTAAACATTCTGTCTCTGTCTGTCCCTCTATCTGCCCCCCCATACTGGGGACTGAACCTAGAATCTCAGGCATACTCTACCATTGAAGTACAACTCCATCAATGAATCATTCTTTTCTTTTTAAAGATTTTTTTTGTTTTGGTTTTTCGAGACAGGGTCTCTCTGTATTGTTTTGGAGGCTGTCCTGGAACTCGCTCTGTAGATTAGGCTGGCTTTGAACTCATAGAGATCTGCCTGCCTCTGCCTCCCAAGTACTGGGATTAAAGGCATGCGCCACCAATGCCCAGGTAAAGATTTATTATTTTATATGTATGTCTTGTCTACATTTGCACACATGCTCTGTGTGTGTGTCTGAGAGAGAGAGAGAGAGAGAGAGAGAGAGAGAGAGAGAGAGAGAGAGAGAGAGAGAGAGAGAGAGAGAGAGAGAGAGAGAGAGAGAGAGAGAGAGAGAGAGAGAGAGAGCCAACAGAGGCCAGGAAACAGTGCTAGATCTGTTAGAGGAGGGGTTAAAGATGATTGCATGTCGCCATCAGGGTACTGGGAATTGAACCCTAACCCTGTGCAAGAACAAGGGCCCTTATCAAGTGAGCCATCTCTCCAGCCATCTGCACCCATCAATCATTCTTATATTGCTAAAGGAATGAAAATTGAATCTCCCCAATCCAGCGTTGTTCTAATTGGCTTAGTTAATGATGTGTCATTATTAGACTGGGGTAGTTTACTGCTATTATAGATTTTTACCTGAGAAGAGAGGCCTGGTACATTTTCTCAGAGGAGTGTTTGGCACCTCCAGAGGTAGCCCTTACAAAGCTGAATAGAGCTGCAGAAGTAGCTTAGCTACAAGGAACCTTCCTGCAAGCATGACTGCCTGAATCCTGTCCCCAGTACTCACATAAAAAATCCAGATATGGCAATCCCAGCACCAGGGAGGTAGAGACAGGAGGATACCTAGGGCTCAGTTGTCTGAATCAGCGAGTTCCAGGGAAAGTGAAAGGCTGTCTCAAAAATTAAGGTGGCTATCTGTTGTGGGAGGATATCTGTGATGTTAAGCTCTGACTGCCACATACACAGACACACATGTACACACATATACAAACATGCACATGTGCATACAACAACAACATCAATAATAATTGTACAAAACTATTAGGATTCTATGAGACCTAAAGATAGTAAAGATTCTATGAATAACGATCACATGCAGCCATTGCAAGAAATGCCCATAGGAAGAAAATGAACAAAATGTCAGTAAATCATTAACTAATGATGAAGACTTCTATGAGCCTTTCTCATAGAAATGAACTTGAAATCAAGTTTATGGAAACAAACAGAAAGCCAGCATAAGTTTGCTTTGATTCTAGAATCTACCCATGCCTGTGAGTTTCAATTAGGAGTGTGCAGGATCAAAGCTTTGAGAGCATAAACCTACAGTCTGTGGGTGGATGACAGACTAAGAGAAAAACGGAAGGATGAGGAGTCATTTATGAATCATTCAGAAGAAAATGTGCCCCTAAAATGAGGTAGAGAAAAATATAAGGGGTCAGAAGACTTTAGGGTTTGAGTGAATACAGGCAAAGAAAAATGAAAGATTATGATTTGAACTCAAATAATTAAAGGTGATCCTGAACACATCAAGGGACACAGAGCAGAAACTTTTTTCCCCAGAACTAAGTTTAGATTGACTCACACTAAATGTCAAACCTGTATATGTATGTATACATGTTGTTAGACATTAAGCACAAGCACACATGCTGACAGTCACCCTTGACTCTCAACAGAAAGATTCAAATCTGAGGGAAAGACGTACAAGTGGGTATAGGAGAGAATGTCAAGTCAGCACTAAACAAAATGTGAGCTAGGACTCAAGAATTCCCCTCTGTATTATATGCCAATAGAAACGGATGCACATTCAGCAATGTTTATAGCAGCACTGCCCTTAAGCCATCAACAGTAGAAGTAAAAAAGGTGAAACATAGAGACAGTGGGTGGTGTACATCGGTGACAGCACTAAAGTCACAATAGTGAACACCACAAGGAAGGGAGAGGAGGTCTAGAAAGGCTTTCTGGTGGGAGTGCTGGTGAGACTCTGCTTCTCCACCTAGGTGATGGTTCCTTGGGCATGTTCACTTGGCAAAAACCAACTCATCTCTGGTTAATCATTTTACCAAGAATGCTAAAAGATGACTATATGAGTTTCCTTGGTCACTGTAACAATTTACCAAAAACGTGATTGCCATGAAACAACTTATTCTGTATTTTGAAGGTCAAAGTCCAAAATGAAAGTGTCACGGGGCCAAGGCTTGTGTTGGGTGTGTAGGGTGTGTATGTAATGCCAAACTGCTCTCTGCAACTCCTATCAGGATATTCAAGGTGGCATTTTGGGTTCAACCAAGGTAATCCTATCTCATAACCCTTAACATGCTCCCAACCACAAAGACTTTTTTTCTCAAATAAATTAGCCTGAGAGAGCCCAGAATTTTGCTGTAGATGACGGGGCAGTGGAACGATTTCAATCGTCACAAGCATTACAGAGATGTCACATGATGAAGAAGGTGAATGCAACAGAATTCAAGGTGTTGGATGAAAAGAAGAAACGGAGGAAGAGTACAGAAGAATCTCCAAAGATCTGTAGAGACACTGAATCATCTGCCAAGACCTTCAGCAAGGATGGTCAGTAAGAAAGTGAAGAGATCAGATCACCCTTAGGAGAGACAGAAGCTTTTTAGTGTTGGAATAGTACACTTGAACACCAGCAAAAGATTAAGGTGCCAAGGGGGGGTTATTAATGCAGATGGCTAATCTGTGTTCTCAGATGAGATAGAGGGGTTGGGTTCTGGGGCAGGGAGGGATGGAAGGGAAGTATTACACAGCAAAGACAAGAAAATGATGAGATGGAAGGAAGGATACTGAAGTCTTTCATTTCGGCTGGTGAGTTCTTCTTGGACAGAGAACTGATGTCGTTTTACAGAAAGACCCAACCAGGAATGGTTGGATCCAGCTGGATCCTGAGGGCCTGCCTGAGCTTCCACGAATTTCATTGGTGCTAACAGAAATTTATCAGAATGTCTGTCTCTTGTGGAAGTGACAATGATACCATAGCAACAGAAAAGATTTGAACCCAGTGCCTTGGGAGACCTACAAACCCTACTTGTTCCTGTCTGTCATATGCTTACAATGAAGCTGTGTAAAGAAGAAAATGGTGGAATTAGAGAAGCTACAGAGTAATCATTCTTGCAGAGACCAAAGTCTGATCCAACCATAGAAAATTCAGCATCACTCAAATAATTATTCTTAGTTATAGGTGGACTGGGCTGGCAAAAAATCATCCCCTTCTGGCAAAGAAGAATATTGAGCACACAATGTTGATGGTAACCAAATTCTGTCTTCAAGGAATCTTTCACACCGGCTCACGAAGAAGTCAGCTAAGTCACAATTTGCACCCTCTAGTGTGCCCCAAATACTTTATGAAAAGATATTTTCTATATATGTGCATGCTCGTGTGTGTGTGTGTGTGTGTGTGTGTGTGTGTGTGCAGGACAGCCCTAGGTGTCATTCCTCGGGCATTACGTCCTTGTCGCACTGACCTGGGACTCACTAAGTAAATCAGGCTGGCTAGCCAGAAAAACCCCAGAATTGCCTGTCAGTGCCTCCCCACTGCTGGGATTGCAAGTGTGCAGCACCAAGCCCATCTTTCCCAGGCACTTTCACTGACGAGCCATCGACTGGCAGTGAAGTGATACTTTAATGGTCACACATGATAGGCCCTTATATACTTTTACTTATTAAATACACAAAATTAGTTGGTTTCGTTTGTTCCCCAAGACAGGGTTTCTCTGTGTAACAGTCCTGGTTGTCTTGAAACTTGCTCTGTATACCAGGCTAGCCTCCAACTCACAGAGATCTGCCTGCCTCTGCCTCCCAAGTGCTGGGATTAAAGGTGTGGCTTACAAAATTAAGTCTTATATTAGGACATGTTATCCTCTTTCCAAGTTAAAATAGGGTCTAATTATACATTTATTTATTTATTTATTATTTACTATGGTTTCTTATATATCCTCACACTGGCCTCAAACTTCCTCCTACCTACACCTCTTGGGTGCTTATATCAGAGTTGTGAGTCACCACATCTGGCTAAGAATTTATTTCTTAATATTATAATAACAATAGATTGGGGGATGACTTAGAAGGAATATATAGCATTAGATGGGTGTGGTAGTACTCAGGACAGGGGCAGGATGATGGCCATGAGTTCAAGGTGGAGGTGGGGAGATAGTAAAAATCCTGAAATCCTTTGTAAGGCAGGAACATCCTCTACATTAGAGGCAGAAAAAAGGGTAATGAGGCGTCTATAGTGGCACACACTTCTGCATCAACACAGCAAACTGCTGTTTGCTCTGTGGAATTCTTGCATCTCCTGAAGGTATCATGGGCTTGAATCGTCACAAATTCAGCTTTCTATAAACTCATTTCATGCAGTATATTTCATCCCTAAGTAATTAGTCTTTCTTAAGAAAAGGAAAAGTCTAAACAGGCTATTTTAGGAGTCCAGTGTGCTTTTGATCCTAGTGAAGTGCAGGTTATTTGTTTCTCGCCTTTCTTGCTCAATTTTAATTAAACCATCCAAGTCCCATCTTCAGTCATGCGCCAGTGAGGTCTCAAGCACACAGAGAACTGTGCAACTGTAGGAATCTTACACAAGAACCTCCGCTTCCCACACAAGGCAAGCACTGGACCCAGTGAACTGACAGCTGCCTTGGGTGCATGAACTTCAGCAAACGTCTGGGAAAGAGATCTGTTTCTCATGGATACATAGGTCTCTTGTGCAGAATGTTCTCTTCTATCACTCTAGACATTCATGACATCCTCACAGAGCCAGCAGAGAGAACTTTCACATCCCCTGATGTTGTTCTCCTGCAAAAATAGCTGGGACAATTCCATCATGTTTGACTTTTGATTGAAATATTTTCCCATCTTTGGTGAAGGAAACTTTTCTCACTCTCATGTATGTATGTTATGTTTACATATCATAGCAATCCAATAACCATAATTTGGACTCTAGAAAAACATACAGGGAAATGATCTGGTATTATTTATTTTTAATTGTGGTGGAGAGGAGAAAGAAATTGCAAATTAAAAGATTGAAGGGACAGCATCAATTGCAATATAGATCATATTTGGATTCTGCTAAAAGAAACTACAAATTCAGCAGCTTTGTGAGACAAAGTTTTGAAAATGGACAGAATATCTCATGACATTTAGAAAACAATTATTTTAATGGGGCTGGAGAGATGGCTCAGTGATCAATAGCATTAATTGCTTTTCCAGAAGACCCATTCAATTACCAGCGCCTTCATGGCAGTTCCCAATTATCTGTAACTGCAGTCCAACACCCTCTTCTGGTCTCCAAGGACACCGCATACATGTGGTTCACAGACACACACAGAGACATGTAAAACACCCATCATACATAAGAGAAAATGGGGAAAAATAAATTTTAAGTGTCACAAGGTACTGTGGTAGTAAGCTTTATCTTTTAGAGAATAAATATGTAACATGGCAATTAAATTGTATGCATGCTAAAAACTAAAGGTGGTATCTAGCTGCAAATGATGTATGTATTCTTTGTCCAAAATATTATAATTTCTACTCAGGCAGTGGTGGTGCACACCTTTAATTCCAGAACTTGGGAGGTAGAGACAGCCAGATCTCTGTGAGTTTGAGACCAGCCTGGTCTATAGAGCAGTTCCAGGATAGCCCAGGTTACACAGAGAAACCCTGTCTTAAAAAACAAAACAAAACAAATGTAATTTCTGGGGCTGGAGGTATATCTCAGTAACAGGGTACTTGTCCAGCACACAGGCCATAAGAGATAAATAAACGAAACCTAGATGCGGGCTGCCTACCTGGCGGAGGAGGCTGCTCACCCTGGTGAGCTTGGAGGATGCCCGCCTTGACTTCATCTCCTGTGTCCAAAAACCTAGCTGGATCTCAGACGGGTGAATGGCTGTCAGGAGTTCCAGGATTCCGAAAGTGTCAGCAACAGAAGTTTCTCACCAAGCTTCATCCAAGTGCCAAAAGCTACCTGGTCTTTCCCTTCTCACACTTCTTCTCAACACCTCATGAGATTTACAAATCTCCTAATGGAGCTGTAATTCTGACACCAACAGAGGTGTAAATATGATTCTGCCGGTAAGATTTCATTCCTAATGCGTGTGTTGACATGCCTTTTGAGTTCATTGTGTGTGTGGGGAAGGGGGTTGTGTTATACTTCGTTCTTGAGTATGACGGATCAGACAAATGGGTCTCAGTAAAACCCTTCAAGGCCAAATCATCTTTTTACCATTGACAGACTGATCTCCCTAACTGTAACAAATGAGTCTTTCTACTCCCAATGTCAACTAAAATTAAATTGTCTTAAGGAACTCACTTTATAGGAAATTTAATTTTACTCTTCAATTTGAAAGATGAACACAATTACAAAAGTGTCACCTGAAAAGAGTTGTCCATCTAAAAGACCAGCCACACAGATGACTATGAGGGAGGAAAGGGCCTTGGCTGATCCCAGTGGGGCAAAGGGCATGAGCCTGCACAACAGACACCAGTAAGGCAGGAAGAAAATACCAAAGCAGCTCCTGCCATGTGTAGCACACTAACTCTGTCCTCCCAGGGAGGCTTCAAGGCCTCCCTGTCACACTGTGGAGGAGGCTCTGTGGCAATCCCAAACATTCCAGTCTGGACATAATCCTTTCTGCTCTCACACCTTGTTCATTTAATATCTTTATTGTTTATTCCATGAAAGATACCATAGGGTTGTGTGTCAAAGGATTCGGTAGCAGCTGTCCGATGAGTCTGTCGTCTTCATGTGAGTGAGACAGCTGGGCCCACGAGTACAAGACCAAGGTCAAATGACATTTACTTACAGAACACAGTGACTGGTTCTGAAGGAGGTATGAGGGAGGTACCGTAGCACTCGGGGTTAAGACAGCACAGTGACACTGGGGAGGAAGGACAGGTCCCTGTGTCCTGTGATGACATCATCCAGGAGTCTCCTCCACCATCTGAAAATGTGTACACACGTCACCCCGATGCTTGAGGACAGGCTTGCCACCCATCCAGCTGCACGAGCTACAGGAAGTTTACAGGAGTGAAGTTGTACAATCGCTGTGGGGGATTTATTTCCAGCACTGCCTCTGGCTCTTAGGAGGAAAGATACTGGCTTTTACTCGTGCCTTAATATACTTGAACTTACCATAAAACGTATTCTCTTTCTAGAGGCATCACCCAGATGCTCACAGTTCTCCAGGAAGTTTGTGTCCATTTTCTTTCAAAGAAAAAAAAAAAGAAAGAAAGAAAAGAAAAAAGAAAAACCATCCTCCCCTTGCATCCTGTAACAGTGTCTGCCTGTCTATACTGGGGGAGAGGGTGGAGGAGTAACTGAATGTTTAACCAAAACACATTGGAGATAGGAAGGGGTAATTTTTTTTTTTTACTTTTTTAAAATTTAAATAAGAAGCACATGTCAGTCCCAGCTCCCTTTCCCTCCCCTCCACCCCCTAACCCCCCCATCTCTCCCAGGTCCCCCAGCCCCCCACCCAATTCCGACTCTGATCCCCAGGGAGTGTGAGGCCCTCCATGGGAGATCTCCAGAGTCTGTCATTTCACTCAGGGCAGGGCCTAGGCCCTCCCCAGAGAGTCCAGGCTGAGAGAGCATCACTCATTGTGGGAAGGGCACCCAAAGTCCATTTGTATGCCAGGGATATATACTGATCTACTACCCAAAGCCCCAAAGAATGCCTAGACCTCCTCAGTGACACCCACATTCAGGGGGTCTGGATCAGTTCCATTATGGCCTCCCCCTTGCTCAGGTCAGCTGTTTCTGTGGGTTTCACCAACCCAGTTTTTCCCAGGAAGAGGATAACTTTTAATTCATGCTCCTAAAACAAGAGAAAAACAAAACAAAACAACTACCTCCTAGAAACAATCAAAGAGATTCCCCCAAAGGGAGAGTCCACACCACACTACCACACCAACGCAAAGGATTCAGAGGCATTGAGGCACAAACTGCAAAGTTTCCAAAAGTAGTAACAAAATTAATTCCTGTGAAAGGGAGTTACACATCTCCTGAATGCACAGCACTGTTTCTATCTGCCTACTTAACCATCGGAAATTAGGTGAGAATTCACAGCACTGTTTCTATCTGCCTACTTAACCATCGGAAACAAAGCAAAGTGACGGTGAACATCACTGAGATACCAGGTACACTGGGAGCAGTCTGCTCTCAGACTGAGTAACTGTAGGCCACATCAGCTCCAACACACGGGGGACCAGTATAATCACCAGCTCAACCCATGCTCACTAAATCTCTACTGTAGGCTGGGTCCCAGGGATTCAAAATAAACCAAACACGTATGCATGCATGCCACATGCATACACTCGGTTTATGCCCCCAGAAGACAAGCACAGAACAGACAAATAACCATGCAAAAATAAAAGCAAACTGTGGTAGGTATGATAAGAAGACACCGGGCATTTTGAACTGTGAAACACAGATCAGATCGGTTGGTAGGGGCTCCCCTGACAATGTGATCCAATCTTATGCAGCTGCAGAAACAAAGAGTTGTGGAAAGCAATGTACCCCATCAGTGGGCAGGACCTGCCAGACATTACTAATGGCCATGGAGCACCTCCTCCAGGGAGGGGTGCAACTGGCTGGAGTCACACTGTCCAAGTCCATTGTACCATGCAGCAAGCAATGGCAGGAGCCCTCGCCTTGGACCTTCAAGCTTATACTCCTGTCAGATGAGAAGGGGTTATCAAAAATGAGCCCTTAGTGACCGTTAGTCATTGCAGCTGCTTGAGCCATGGATGGGGAGGCATGTTCACACCTTTCGGGCACCGAAGGGACCTGTCAACAATAGGCCATAGATGGGTTTCTACTCCTCTCCTGATTACAGGAACTGTGTAATCAGCAATTTCGCTTTCACTCTTCTCACAGGAACTTCTGGTGTTTTGACAGAAATCTATAAAGAGTGTTTTCTAGACTCTGACACAGGGGCACAGTCAGCATTGCAGGCAGTATTAAGATTTGCAGAGCAACAAGTTACAAGATCCCAGAAAATGTGAGGATGGCCAGCTAAATTCATGTCCTGGTCCCCTTCATATAGTCCCAGATGTCTACGATCACATTACGTCAAACTGGCCCACTACCATTTCTAGTTGAGTCTCCTTTCATTCTCCAGTATTGCTCTGGGTTCTGAGCGGGAGTGGGGGCGGGCAGAGGCTGCATATTAAATGCTCCTCCAAGGGACAATGGCAATAGATGCCCACAGAGGCCTAAAAGCTCGGTAAGAAGAGTGAATATGCCCTACTTATACTGTTGTCACCCAGTGCTTAACCAAAGAACTCAGCCACAGACTGGTCACATTTCTGTCAGACAAGCTGCTTTTTCCAAATCTCCCAGGCCCAAGTAAGAAGGAATATTTATTTCATAAATGGTACAGGACGACCTCACCATCTTTGAAATGCCAGCCCTTATGCACTTTGGAGTAAAATGCATTTCATTTGGTGCGGCTTTCTTTTCCTGCAGTGGGGGGAAGGGGTGTGAGGGAACCAGCCTCTCTCTTTCTCTCTCAACACTCCTTTTCATTTTCTGTTGCCTCTCCTCCTAGAGTTTACCTTTGTCCTATGGGTTTCTGTTGTTCGTTTCCCATGTCTTACTTGGAAACGCCCATGACAAGGTCAAGGTTTCATGGTGGGGTTTTTTTTGTTTGTTTGTTTTGTTTTCTTCAGGCATCCACAAGACAAAGTGGTTTCATAGGTCAGACCATGTGTTCCTTGCGTCCTAGACTGAAAGTCCAAAATATGCTTTCGGAACTGGTTTAATCCAGATGGTCAGTCCCAGACTGCAATCTCCCCCAGTTCTTTCTGCCCATTGTGATTTATTTCAGAGCAACACAGAGAGGAAAAAAGGGAGAGAAAGAAAATAAGAGAACCTGAAACTCCACCATCCATAATCCCATTAGGAACCAAATGGTGTGTTTACAAGGGTTCCTACGTTATGCTGGCTCACTTTAGAAGAAGTATTACACAAACTGTGTTCTTAAACTGCCCCAGAGCATTCCTTTGGGTATATCATCATGGACAAGCCAGACTACGAAAATGAACTTGAGTACTAAGTAAAGTAATTTTCTGCCATTTATTTGGATCATTTTAACTCTGTGCAAATGCTGCAGTCTTTTATGGTGATTATTTTGAAATAGGAGACTTAATTCAAATATTTGAAATTTTGAAATACGTGGTGGATGTCTTCGCTCCTGGAACCGCTGTTCTATCTTGATGCTGGATTTCCAGTAACCTTTACCACATCTCACTTCAGCATTGCGCATGTGTTCCTGTCAACAACTCGGCTTGGTTCTGTACAGACTACTGAGATGACTTCAGCAACGTGACTATTAACAAATCACAAATGAGTGTGCAGCTACACCCGGGTGAGTGATAAAAATCTAATGGCTTAATCGTTAATAGCCCTGAGAAAATACAGTGTATCTAAAACTGTGTGTGTTTTTGGCTTAGAATCCCAACACTTTGGAGGCTGACACAGGAGGATTGCAATGATCAAGGCTACTCTCAGCAATATAGTGAAATTTACCTTAAAGATTTTATATATATATAATATGTGTGTGTCTGTCTGTGTGTGTGTGTCTGTGTGTGAGTGAGTGTATGTGTGTATATATATATGTATATATGTTATACATAACTCCCACTGTCATAGAATATATGTGTTAAAATGAATATTAATTGCCAAGTGGAGATACCAGGCATTTTGATGCATTTCATTCGCTCATGATTATGCATATACCCACATAGTATGAGAAGAAAATTACTATTGCTCTATAAATAATGCATCAATAATAACTGCTACCTTACAGCTGGGGAAGCCTAAAGAAGTTCACAGATGCTACTGAATCAAAAGGATAAAAGCCTGCGTTCAAATAGCTACAGAAAAACTTATGGCTACACTATAAACAATGGTGAGTTAGCAGCTTTCCAACTTAGGTTAGGAAAGGACAAGGGTGTTTCCTCTCACTGCTCCTTCACAATATCATACTGAAACGCTACCTAATGGAAAAAGACAGAGAATGAAGACAA